ATAATCCAAAGATGTTCACTAGGAAAGAGAAGAAAGCCAGATGGCACATGCTAGGAAAGACGTATTCTAAATAGGTTAATAGGAAAGAAAGTGGGGATAGGAATGGTGCACGGTTTCATTATTAGCAAATGAACTTAAAGGGATTCTTGCCCCCAGAGTGGACTCAAATATCTGTATCTTGATCTAGGCACAAATATGTTTTGTGAGTTTTATTGGCTGTTGAATATATTAAAAATGCAGTTGCTCAAGTTATTGTCAGAAAAAGAATTGAGACTAAGATATTCATGATGAACATGACCTTCAGTATCACTAATATTTTTTTTTCCATTTTTTATCCTTCCTCACCTACCCCAACCCACCTGCCTTAAGATGTTATTGATATTGGCAATGCAGCTATACTGGAAAGCTTTGTTTCTATAATGGAATCTTTATACGGGTAGTCTTTGACTTACAACCATTCATTTTTATGACCATTCAAAGGTATGACACCAAAAAAAGGGACTTCAAATCAGTCTTCACACTTACAACAATGGCAGAATCCCCATAGACATGTGATCAAAATTCGGGCACTTGACAACTGAAATGTATTTATTTATGGCAAATGCAATGTCCGAGGGTCATGTGATCACCATTTGTGACCTTCCCAGCTGGTTTCTGGCAAACAAATTGAACGGTGGAAGCTTAATAACTGTGTGTTCATTTAACAACTGCAATGATTCATTTAACAAGTGTAACAAAAAGGTAAAATTGAGCACAGTGTATTTAGCCTAGCTTAGCAATGAAAATTCTGGTCCCAACTGGCCATAAGTTGAGGACTACCTGTACAGTTTCCCAATTGGTCATGCCAAACTATTGTTGGAATTGTTAGGAATTGAGGCAAGAAAAGAACAGCCAGAATAAGACTCAAAGGCGATATTTTACAATGAGGTTATAAACACACTCATGTAAACAAAATTGTAATTCAGATTATCAATCACCATTTAAAAAAATAGATGAAAACTATGAAAAAAAATAAATCTGTTCAGTTGATTAAAATAAACTTTGAACGAAAAATAATTTAGAGTAATTATTTCCATGTTGAAAGCTATCAAAAGTCATGGAGGCATCTGAACCATCATCATCCAACCAGTAGCATTGATGGGCTGAACTAAAATTCACATCTCCTCCTGTCATCCTTACCAGTAAGCAAGATTACAGGGTTTATTATTATTGTATTAACATGGATTGACATGGGCTATCTAACGCTGTATGGAAAAACACCATCTGAATTAGAATTGCTGCTCCACACTATCTAAATATACAACCAAGATATTGCAATGAGGGTTTGGACTGGACAAATGTGACACCCTCACCATCAATAGGGGGGGAAATGGTGAAAACTGAAGGAGTCAAGATGCCTTATAAAATAACATCAAGAATCAGAATGAAGACAACCACTACAAATACCTGGGCATCCATCAAGTTGACAACATCAAACACACAAGTCGAAAAGGAATAAGAAATGAATATATCATTAGAGCAAAGAAAAATCATAAATTCCACAGTCAGCAGAGAAAAGACAATTAATACTTGGGCAAATCCAGTCATTAGATGCACACTTGGAACACTGGCCTAGACTCAAGCAAAATTAAAAGCTCTGGATACACACACGTACAGTCATGTGAAAAAGTAACTCTTTGAGTTCTATAGTTTTATGCATCAGGACATACAGTAGTAAAAATCATCTGATCCTTATCCATTCTTAAAAGAAGGTCAACCTCATATGAACAACAATGCATGACATATTACATCATGTCATCATTTATTTTACAAATAGAAAGCCCAAATGGAGACACCATGTGTGAAAAATAAATATACCCTTACTGCTTCCATAGGTATAAAGTAGCAGCCAGATGCTGCTAATCAAGGGCCCTTGATCAATTGACCATCAGCAAGTGTGACTACCTCTATAAAAGTTGACATTTTAGAAGTTTGCTGGTCTCCAGCGCTGAGGTGTGTGTTAACACAATACCGAAGTTTAGCACTAATCTTAGAAGAAGCAATTGTTGCCATTAATTTTTCACACATGGCTTCTCCATTTTGGCTTTCTTTTTCTAAAATGATGACATGATGTAATGTGTCATGTGTTGTTGTTCATCTGGGGTTACATTTACCTACTTTTAAGAACTGCTAAGGACCGGGTGTCCTGGTACATAAAACCATAGAACTCAAAGAGGGCACACAGGTGGTCCTCAACTTATGACCACAATTTATTCCAAAATTTATGTTGCTAAGTGAGAATTTTTTAAAGAGTTTTACCCCATTTTACCACTTTTCTCATCACATTTGCTAAATAAATCACTACAGTTGTTAAATTAGTAACCTGGCTTCCCCATTGACTTTCCTTGTCAGAAGGTCGCAAAAAAGGGAATCACATGATCCTGGGACACAGCTACCATCATAAATGTGAGTCAGTTGACAAGCATCTGAATGTAAAACATGTGACCATGAGCATGCTGCAATGGTTATAAGTATGAAAAATGGTCATAACTTTGAACAGTCACTAAATTAAACTAACTGTTGTAATGCACATGCATATGTATGTGTGTATATATATATATAGTTATTTGGGTTTTCTCCCGCGTAAAGTTGGAAGTATCTAAGCGACGTTTCGATGAAGTCTCATTCATCATCTTCAGGCTTGTGTCTTCAGCTTTATGCTTCTCAGAGTAATGTGAGCTTGCAGCTGTTTCTTCCTTTTAACTGCTAGTGGGGGTGTGACTTGATTGGGTGGGGGCTTGGCTGTGTTCTGATTGGCTGGGG